CCCCTCTCTCTAAAGGTGACTCCAGCCACCCTAAGGTTGCCAAATTGGTAAATCAAGAGCTTTGTAACAAAAACATGGATCTGAGTGAAACATGTCTCACTGCATATATTTTTGTTTCAAGTATAGAATCTTTTCTGGGCCCTTTCTTTAACCCTTTCGGTTTCCACTATATCTGTCAGTGTAGAAACAAATCAGCAGCGTAGGGATTTATCCCAGAAAAGAGGTATGGCAGGTTGGTTGTACTTTTTTACTCACCAGGAACATTTGGATGGAGTTTTGTGGAGAGAGAGCCATGAATTGTTCCAGGGTTTTCCAGGCTTCCAGTTCAGTAGCTCATAGTTTTTTTTTTAAGTTTAACTCTGAAAGATTGCAGCTATCTGTTTAGTAAAAGGAAGAAATGTCTTCAAAGTAATATTTTAAGATAATAAATTATGTTCTGAGGCACAAATAAAAGCAAAAACAACCCCGGTGGGTCATTAACAGATTTTAAGGTGCCACTGCTCTATATAATATTTCTTTAGAACCTGTTTTTAAGCTTTAATTATTCAAATTAAAAGTTAATGATCATTGAAGTTTTCCTCTGACTTTGAAGTAATTAAAAATTTGTCTCAGGGTTGATGCCAGGCTGTAATTGTGACAACAGGAGCAATCACTTCAGAAGTGAGAGTTTTATATTTTGGCAAATTCCTGTAAAATTAGTTACAGATATTTAGACCATTATGTAGTACATTTACAGAAGTCTAATCGCTGGGATAGCATCGCGGTTAGCAATTGTAGTTTTATTTTTGTAATCACAGCTTTTTATTGCAACAGGAGCCTCCCTCCCACATTCACTGGATATCCTGGACAGTCATTAAAATTCCTGCAGAGGGAGGAGTTATGACTCAGCCAATGTATTTAGATAAAATGTCCTTCTTCTTTTTTTTCTTTTTTTTTGTTATTAAAACCGTACAAGGCTAAATCAGAACATTCTGGGTTACATAGTTAAAATCCTCCTTGTTAATGTATGGTGTGTTTCCCAGAAAAGCAATGTACTCCGCTGTCTACATGATTGAACAGAAAATGAAAGCCACCTTCTTCTATTGCACCTTTCTCCGGTTCTGGAGCTCTTGTGCCCATTGTTGGTTCTATCAGCAGATTACTCAGACTGGACAGGCCAACCTTTACTCCTCAGTGGTCATAATGTTATGCCTGATCAGCGTTTTGTCTGCAAAGCATCATTTAATTTATGTTCATTTTAGTTTCCTCATAAATGTGATATTAAAAGATAGGAATCTTACCAAACCGCCTGTCAGACAAGCACCGCTCTGCTGTACTTGGTGTGCAGCGTAGCAGCTAAACCATGAAATGTGTTTTTGCTGATGGTGTGTCATTATGTATATTTCTGTTCAGGAGATTTTACCTGGACTGTTTTTAGGGCCCTACTCTGCTGCAATGAAAAGCAAGGTAATACTATGAAGAATCATCCAAATAAATACATGTATTTCTAAAAGAAAATAAAGCTGATTTTAATTGTACCTCTCACTGTTCTGTTTTGTCTTCTTCTAGCTGCCAACTCTTGAGAGACACGGCATAACACACATCATTTGTGTTCGCCAAGACATTGAAGCCAATTTTATCAAACCCAATTTCTCTCATAGATTTAGGTAAGGTAACACACATACAATATGCTCAGAACGCTATGTATGCTTATTGTTTGAGTGACAATAATTTCATATATTTCTTGTAGATATCTTGTTTTAGATATTGCTGACAATCCAGTAGAAAATATAATTCGTTTTTTTCCTATGGTAAGTCATGGATTAAGTTTGGCCTTGTAGAAAAAAAACATTTTATTCTCTCGAAGAGCATTGGCATTTACAATATACTGTCTTTTATTTCCTTTTTGCAGACTAAAGAGTTTATTGATAGCTGCTTGGCAACAGATGGTAAGTTTCCTTGCTGTTTGTTATGCTTTAAATATTTTTCTGTTCAATTAAGTGACCTGTGTTTTGCTCCTGTAGGAAAAGTGCTGGTTCATGGTAATGCAGGGATATCGAGAAGGTGAGGCATTACTTTGTTGTATGTGTGTAATTTTAGGCCAAAAAAACACAAGAGGCTCCTAAAGTGAAGGTGCATCAAGGGCTGGACAGCAAATCAAAAACAGAATATGTATATAGCCACATGATCAATGTCAATACATAATACCTCTGTTTCAGTATTCAATAATTTTACTGAATTCTGGCCCAGAACCACACAGCATTCTGGGGGATGTAGGCAGAGGAAAGACTTCAGCTTCTCAACCTCTCACAGCCAGCTGAGCAAGGTTGATGGCATCAACTAACTCACTCAGTCTTCGGTTACCTAGCAACTCACCCATTCTCTGGTTACCCAGCAACAACCTGTTGAGTAACTTTGGCAGTAGAAGTTTAATGTTTGCTCGCATAACTGCTTAAAAATAGGAAAGATCACACTACCAGTTTAGTATTTCAGATATTTAAAACAAAAAACTAACCAATAATTATTGATATTGACTGATATGTTTATATTGTGATATGTTTTTCAGCGATATCTTCCCACCCTTGGTGCATCAAGAAAATGAAATGGATTTAAAAATAAAAATTAAACATTTTGATAAATATTTAAGAAGAAACTCACTAATTCAAATGATATTTTTCCAGGTTTTATCTCTGTTGATATTAGAGTATGGTTTACAACATTTAAATATAATCTATGTATATTAGAATTTTAGGTAGATTAAAAAAACAGATTCTTATTATGAACTAAAACATTTTTAGCTATGTAATGTTTTACATCTTCACTGATCAGTAGTTTTTTATTCAGAAAATAAAATTGAATCATCTGTCTAAGTAACATTACTATGTTTGCTTCTTGTAGTGCTGCCTTAGTGATTGCCTACCTTATGGAAACATTTGGGATGAAGTACAGGTAATTTGTTTCCAGTAAACAAGAGCTGCCACCTACGGCTCTTGCCACAAAGTCTTCATCGGTGCAGTTTATAAAGCTTTCGGATTAACTGTGATTGTAACTGCAGGGATGCATTCAGCTACGTACAGGAGAGGAGATTTTGCATCAACCCCAACGTAGGTTTTGTCCACCAACTGCAGGTAAGACACTATTAAACCTGATATATGCAGTTAGCAAGTATGTTAGCATACTTAAAAAAATCTTAATATGGTTATGATTTAATGTGCATAAGTTTTAGGACTCTATTAACATTTGTTTAACAGTGAGATGTGTGGTAATAAAACACCGTTGATGTATTCTAGAGATTGTGTACATGTAAATACATTGGGTTTCTTAATGTGATAGTGGTTTGTTTGGTGCAAATTTTTTAATTTGTTGGAAAAAATGTACAGTGTTATTGCAGTGGCAATTAATAATATATTCATGTTGAATACTCAGAATAGGTAACTGTGTCCTGGATACTTTTCCCATAATACATATTTGAGTTTATGAACCCATAATCTGGTAATAAAATACAAATTAACAGTATTGGTATGGGACAAGCCTGAGCTTAGTGAATTGGAGTATACGCCAATTCACTAATTGGCTTATACAATGTCACTAATTGGCAATGTCACCTGAATTATTTGGTTATTGTAGTTATGAGGATTTATTTTGGTTCTTTTTGCAGGAATATGAAGCAATCTATTTGGCCAAACTGACCATTAAAATGATGTCACCAATAGAGTTGGGCAGGTCGTTCTCTCTACAAGCTGGGATGCCAGGTTTGTTCAAGATGAACCATCTCTGGTTTGTAAAAACTAACCAGTGTTGTAAAAAAAAAAAAAAAAAAATTGTTCAAATCATTGCTGATAGAGCAGTGGTGACCAAATTTCTTCCAAGCTGGCTGCAATGATATATTTTCTTTTTATGTCTTTTCATATAAAACAACCGTTATGTGAATGGTGTGAAGTTTTATTTGTGACCAAATCACATTTATTTGACAGGAAGTCGCAAACGCAGCCTGGAGGAGGATGAAGATTTTGGAGCAATGCAGGTCACAGCAACACAGAACAGCTGAGCTTTACGGACTTTAAGCTGTGTGGCACTGTGCACTCTTTTCTTCATGTTTTTTACATTTTTAATGGAATTAAAAATGTAAATATTTGAACTTTTTCTAAGGGGAATGGGAAAGGGGGTGGGAGGACAGCTTACCCATGTCTGAGACATGGACTAGTGATGAACAATGGTCAAAATGGATAACTGTTTTGTTATTTGAGCAGGATGCACTGATGTTTTTTTTTTTTTTTTGCAGTTTTATAGTATTTAAGCATTTTGCATTTGCAGCGGGACAGTATTGCAATAATGCACTTTGAATACTTGAATTAGTGAAAATAATCTAATCGGGGATGTCTACATAAGGGAGCGAAGAGAAGATGTCACCCAGCGGAGGACGAAAGGAGTAGCTATGCCTTTATTTCAGGAGTAATAAGGTGATGAACTAATAAGGCCTAACAGTCAACAGAAAAATGCTAAACACTGCTTAATAAAAACAAGTCCTGAGTACTGTAGTAATGTCTTCATTATTTATGTACTTCTACACTTTGTTCAACGCTCATTTTCCAGCAATTGGTGGACAGCAACATTTTTCAGCCTTTATGCTTAGAGTTCAGGCGCAAATCAAAGATTAGATTTAAAAAGTTTCTCAGTTCAAAAAGTGTGTGTGTGTATATATATATATATATATATAGTTTTTTTTCATTATTTTGCTTGCATCTAAAGCTACCAAATTCAAATTGCCAGAAAAAGAAGCAATTTTTAATGACTATAGTGCTTTTTTCCAGCATGACTTGAAAGCTGAATGGAAAGAAATGTGACAGAAAGATGCAGAACTAGATGCCAAATTCCTCAAGAGGAATTAGGCATTTAAAAATGAAGCAGATATTTAAGCATCCTGTGCCCATAGTGCATACCACTGATGCAGTAATTCATGCAAAAGGAACCCCGACTAACAACTTCATCTGTTGAGTAATTTCATAGCAGAAAAATGTGAAACTCTTGATCATAGAATATTTTATTGGATTTACATTTGGAAATAAGTTATTTTAAATATCTTCCCCAGAATAAAAGCATAATTATAAAACTCAACTACAAAAGCTTAAATAAAAGTGAATTTACAAAAATCACTTGTCATTTCTTTTACAAAATGCTTAATGCTAAATCCAGTTAACCAACTAAAAAAAAAAACACCCTTATCAAATTATTACTACCACCTTTGAAAATGTTTTTTCTTCACTGGAAATAGTTTAACAGTCTTCTTGTATTCAAAACTTCATTCTAGGATCCCAACAACAAAACCGATAAGCTGAGAAAAAGAGCACTTCGTACCAATCAGACTAGAAAAGTGAAACCCAAACAAAACCCAGATATCATGGTGGTTCCTCATGAATGTCGACAGTTGCTATTAATTGGTGGCAGAAAACTATAATTTTAGGCCAAATTGTACAATGAGAATGCGTAGCTTAAAAGTAACGTGGGGAAAAGCATTACTTTTTTTCATATGATAAAAGCCAAATTTAATGTTTTTGTAGGATTGTCTTTATTTGTAGTGTAGCAGTCAAATTAGATTTGTCCTTTTTGTACTCGATTACCCTTTTTCTCTGGGAAAGTAAGACAACACATACATTCTTTAAGACGGATGAAGGGAAAATAACAGCAAACACCCACCCTGGTCAGGCGGATTATTGTCAAACTGAGCTTCAATGAACCGACACTCAAGTTTTCAGAAATTAAAATACCTTGTCAGGCAAGAGCAAACCAAATCCCAGGGCGCTAGTGCTGAAGACCCCCATCGCAAGTGCTGATATCAGATATAAAAACAGTCCATGCCCCAAAAACTGTGAGGTGGTTAAAGCTGCAGCTCTCCTCAGTCGAAGAATCTGCACTGCATGTAAGTTTCATCCGAAGAGGTATAACCGAATTTTTGGTAGAAAGCCACGTTTTTGGGCGCACATTCCAGAGTGATTTTGTAGCAGTTAAGTTTTTTGCTGAGAAGAGTAAGCGTTGACACTAACCTGCAAGAAGAAAGAGACAAGATATTTATGTACAGCGGCTGTCAAAGGTCAAAATACCTCTTAAAATATGCCAGGTCTTGTGATGTAATAATGAGACTACAACTGACTAAAAAAGAAAAAAAAAGTCACCCCGTTTTATGATGCTGCCACCACCATGTTTCAACTCTGCGAATGGTATTTTTGGTCATGTTTCTGTCAAACATTTTCTAACTGTGGCACAAAGTTTATGTTTAGTTTCATCAGACTATAAATACATCCTAACATTGGGGGATATTCATGCTTACAACTTACAATTTATTGGTCCGGACAGGGTACAGGACATTGCTCTTGCATGTTAAACATAACCAGTACTTGCTAGAAACTTTTGGGAACCTCCCTAACAACTCTGTGTCTGATCTTTATTTTAAAGTTTTGGGAAAAACACTCAGTTTTTAGAATGCCTTCATCATTCCATAATTAAATTGATATCACACTATATGAGGAAAAACAAAACTCTGACTAAATGCTACTGCAGCAGTAAAGCAAATATTTACCCTTTAAGTTTAAAAGCTATGTGGGCTGTCAGGTTTGCACAGGCCTACTCACAGTTTCCCGAGCTGCTTCCCTCTGCATTCGTCACTGACAACCACCTCCTCCACCCGGCCTCTCTACCAATAAAAAATAAAGGCAGCAGATCTTCATTTTGTTCATTTTTCAGAATCTGTTGTATTTACAAGGTGAAATTTATTTGTCTTGATTTTAGAAAAGCAATGTACATGTAAAAAAAGAAGAAAAAACAAGCCGACTGAATATTAGCATTCTAATAGTCAGTGCATTAATGTGTAACTAATAAGTGGTGATAGGGAGAATGGAAAGAGATCATGGCTCTTTGCTCTGGATCTTTGCTTCTTGGTCAGTGTGTTGTACCTTGGCACAGGAATGAATAAATTTGTGTTCAATGATAAGCGTGGCTGTGGCAATAATTTGTCCCAGGTTTTTATCCTCCACGACGACAACATAGTAGTTTCCTGTTGACTTCATGTGCTTGAACTTACCTAGAACAAACAGAAAACAGGACAGCTTTCTAAAAGACAAACCTTTTTTTTTTAATTAATGGTTTTCCCTAAAATTGTAGAAAATTGTTTTCTACAATTTTAGGAGCCATGATGATACAATCTGCAAAACTGTGAGATCAAATATAAATTGTTTTAAAATTATTAGCCATTGTTTGACACTTCACTGTGCAGAGATGTTTTTGAACTCACTGATCTTCTCACATTTTACCTATGGAGCTACCGTCTGGTCTCAGACTAATCAAACTATAGTCAAACCATTAGCAAGTCTCTATAATCGGGCCTTAAAGGTTTTATATCAAAAGCCGATTAGATTCCATCACTGTCACATTTTGGTTAAATTTGGCATTTTGGATTTTACAAATTTTCTAAATTATAATGTATGAAAATAGATTTTTAAGTGTTTAAATGGACTTGCACCTACACCAGTAAGCGATTGTATACAGAGACTGCAGGGCAACAGCAGATCTACCAGAGCATCTTTGGATGGAAATTGTAAGGTCCCCTTTCGAAGAACCACTTTTGCTCAAAGTGCTCTGTCTGTGAGAGGATCGGCAGTTTGGAACTCACTTCCTGTTCATTTAAAGTCTGTAAACAGTTTTAGTACGTTCAAAAATCAAACAAAACTTTGGTTATGTCAAAAATAGAACTGTACCCATTTTTGATGTTTTACATTTTTCTGTTTGTATACATTATGTTGTGCTATTTTAAATGATTATCACTTCAATTTTTTAAAGTTATTTTTTAAAAAGCCCAACTAGGGACAATTAGCTGTTGCTATTGCACCATAATGCAAACATGGGACTGCCGTTTTTTTCAGTTTGTGTATGTCGATGTGTGTCTGTCCCCATCAAATAAACTTTATAATAATAATAATACAATGTGTGCTATAATGTTTATATTGTGACGTCCCCAAGGAACTTTTCCACCACTTCTCAGTGTGTATGGTCTATTGTGGTGCACTCTCTCAGGAGAACTGGAACTAGTTTGTGCACAGAAGGAAGTTTGATTTTATTTCAGAAACGTATCAGTCTGTGTTGTCTGAGTTTTGACTACAGCACAGGTGTCAAACTCCAGTCCTGGAGGGCCACTGCCCTGCAACTTTTAGATGTGCCTCTGCTGCACCACACCTGAATAGAATAATTAGGTCATTAGCAAGGCGCTGGAGAACTTATCTACACAAGAAGGAGGTAATTAAGCCATTTCATTCCAGTGTTTTGAACCTGTGACGCATTTAAAAACTGCAGGACAGCGGCCCTAGAGGACTGGAGTTTGACACCCAAGGACTACAGTATAATTTCATCTAGCCTTACCTGGTTATTCTCACTTGTTGCTAAAATATACAATTCTGTGTGTAATGAGTCCATAAAGCATATGAATATATACTGTATTGTTGAATTAAATGACAAAATGTTGGGGTTTTTTCCAATTCCTCCTGTCTGTGACAATACTGCAGATGTAGAGTTTAATCAATTTAATAGTGGTAGCAAGATTTGCAGTCAAAGACATTGAAAACCCTGATGGTAGAATTATTAAGAGGTTAATTATTTTTGCAGCATTAAGTGTAACTTACTAACAAACTGCTCTGGCGTGACATCGCCAGTCTTGGTAAGTTGAGCTAAAACTTGAAAGAATCCTGGAAAAGAAAAGCAACAAAAGAAGTCAATTACATCTCCCTGTCAAATTGAAAATACGATTCATGGCTCATGAAGTATTCAGATTTTTTAGGTATAAATAAGTAATCCTGACTGACCTTTATTAAAATCTGCTGTACACAGTGGCCTGAGCTCCAGGTCATCTCCTGGGTTGGTTGGTGAGATGGGCGGAGAGAAGGACACGGCGTTGCTGTTCCAGTCCAACTCCTTAAGCAAAGAGGGATCAAAAAGTGGAGTCTCGTCCAGCAGCATTCCACAATCTCTGTCTAGAAGACACGCAGACATCAAATTAAAAATAATGGTATTTTAAGGCACAAAACCTTTATACATTTTTCTTCAGTTTAATTGTAAAACACATACATGTCAACTTGTTCCGTCCAGACAGTGAATATATTTGCTCGGTGACACAAAACTTTGACCCGAGAACTACAGCTTCCTTCTGTGAAACATTTTCAGGTCCTGAAGATTACGAAACAAGTTGAACAAGATTACAGTCACATCTACTACTAACACACATCCTTTGACAGTATGACGCGCCAATCATGATTCCAAGTTTCCAAGATGAGGCCAGGCACAGTCCAGAATATACAATCTTCAGTGGTTCATCTCTTTTCCCGATTTAGCCCTGCCTTAAATTGAGTTTCCATGTTAACACGATATAGTTTTACACTTTATTGCTCTTAACCCATCTATGAGTCAGAACACAAGGATGTACTGTGTGAATCAATAACTAAAAGCTAATCTACCAGTAGCACATTGTAAAATACGTATCCTTGATAACACAACTCCTTCACTGACATAAACATTTAAAAAGTAAAATTTGTTAGCTTTCAATGACTTGTGTCCTGATACCTACACGAGGCCACTTTAACTCAAGCAAACCGATCTAACCGAGCCGTTTCCAGGAACTTCTTCTTCCCAGTGTACAAAATACAACTACAACTAAATGTTGATAACCGAGCAGAACTGTTAGCTTACCAGTGAAAAACCCAGTGAGATACTGTCCAGCTGAATTCCCACACGGATATAATGAACAGGGATACGCGTTAGTTCTGAATGAGGCTGGGCTTCATACTTACGCAGAGCACCGTGGGTGTTGTGGCTGCTGCTTCCGCCCAACAGCGTATGACGTGGCATAGATCCTGAAGTGATGAGAATTGCGGCTCTTCGTTTGGGATCCGCATCATTTGGCTCAAACGAAGGGTCGCTCACAGTCAGTTCTCCTCTCATCGTGGGTCAACATCTAGCCATGCTTTGACACGATTACAGATTCTCAAAATTAGGAATTCCAAATGATCTGTGCACTCTGGCATCTCGATGAAATTACTTTGGAGTGAAGGAATTGTTTAACAATCTTGAGCTGGCACACAGAGTTGGATCAGTCATGACCAACACATTTCTATGAGGTTAAGGGTGCAGCATAATGACATCAAAACAATCCAATTACGGCAATCTAATGTAAATAGATACTACAGTAGTTCCGTGTCCTTTTATGAGTCTCAGGAACTTTGACATCCATCAACCAATTTTGTTGGAGTCAAAAGTTCAAAGGTGATGTACATTAAAAATAAATGTGAAGGAATTTCATTTTACAATACCATGCTCTTTAAAACACAGAAAAAGAAAAAAGTACACATTTGTTGAAAAGCTGTAGCTCTGTTTATTGAGTCTTTCATATCAACATATTTTACAAAAACTAAATTTACAGAAATTAACTAAACCATCCTTGATTTAGGCACAAAATATGGGAAAGCTCAATCCACAAAAAAAAAAAAAATAGAAAAAGAATCTGATTCTTGATTAAATTAGTAATAGTTATGAAAGGAAACCATGAGCAGGTAAAAGTAATGGGCTTTTAAAGTTGCTTAGTAAAAAACTGAGAAAAAAAATTCCAGTTTCTGGATTATATATTTATAATTTAGTTCTCTCCTGACCAAGAGAACTAAAATTAATACAAAATAAAGAATTATAACACTTTAGCTTCTAGTGTAAGCTTTAGGGCTGATCTTTGGTGTATGGACACAAAATGGCTCGTCAACATTTCATGCATTTTGAAACCGTCTTTTTTAATACACTGCAGTGATCCACAATCTCCACTCCTTTGTCTGTTGATATGTCTCAATCAGGAACGCATTCAAGCTTCAAGAGACAAAGTTTCTCTGTCCATTGGTGTACTTTAGAAACAAATGAAGTTAGTGGCTTTTAAGGTTTTCCTTTTTAGTTTGCAGATTACACAATGGCAGCACAAATGAGTTACCCAGAAGTCTCGTTATAGATCTTAATTCAGTCGATTTATAGGAGTTAAACAAGCACAACATTTTAGGTCCAGTAATTTGCTGAGGTACTAAAATATTTTTTTTTTTTTTATAGGTAAGGTATTCAAGATTCTTAACATCCACCAGGAACATGCAGCAAGTGCAGCTGCTGCAGACTAAACAACTTTATACCCTATAAATATCACTTAAAACCCCCAAACTCAACTGAAAACATTTACCTGCTCATCAGTTGAGGGTCATTTTAAAAAGAGAGGAAAACACCCAGTGTACTTGCACAAAAAATGTTATCTGTCCCCATTTGCTGGAAATCAGCATTAGAAAAAGATTTACATGCCAAACTTTGACCATCTTGTTGAATAACAAAATGCAAACTGTTTACAATGGGTGATATAACACTTAACACAGAACAACCCTTGTGGGTCAAAAACAAAACACTTTGTTTGCAGCATTTCTTTTGACAGAAACATTCATGGTTGACTGAAAGGCTGACCAATATTAAAGTGACATTCTCTTACTCCAAGGTAAGAAATAAAAGCTTTGCTACTTATTTCACAGTTGAAACTATTCAAATGTACACACAAATAGATCAGATGAATTTCTTCATCAGGAATAGGGTGTTTCTGCCATTAGCAAAGCAAGAGACCAAAAGTAATAAAAAGACTCATAGTAGCTTCATCTAGAAATGACACTTTCCGACAACGCTCAAAAAATGTGTCCTTGTAATTATGTCTGAATGCAAAATGTGCTCGTTTTTGACAGTCAGTCCAAATATTGACAGATACTGTCTAAGCTGGTGGTTGCAATGCGTAGCATGTGAGCAGAGGGCGATGCAACCTTGCAAGTCTTACTTGCCACAACCCATCACTTTCTATTATGCTCCAAATACTCAGGATGGAATAGCAGAGGCCACTTTCAATAGTCTCACCTTCTTCAGGCTGCCCAGAACAGTCCACAGGCCATATTTGCAATGCTTTTTAATTAAGAATTTTACAAAGGTGATAACTATTGACTAGACCAAATGGGGAAAGGCTGAAATAGGTCTTGTTGCCTCTTAGGATGATGAAGTGGTATACTTTCTTGCCCAAGTCCTTTCAGGGCGCAGGATCCTCTTGGTGTTGCATGCGTCTCTCTGCAGCTGCTGCCATGGTTCTACGCCTCAGCACAGTGGAGTCCAGTTCTGCAAGAGAGTCCTCTTCCAGTCTGGGCAAGTCCTCCTCATTATCTTCTTGACCCTTGTTTAGAAACCTCCTAGGTGGAGGAGGAGAGCCAGGAAGAGCCGTTATGAAAGTAAATTTAACATGAAAAAGGTAACGGGCGTGGCAGAAACCCAAGACATCTCATGTAGATCTGACTTTTTAGATGCTCATTGGCAAAATAAAAGAAATTAAACTCGCAATTAATGTTTTATAATCACTTTTTTGGTACAATTTTACTTCCACTAAATTTATTTCAACATCAAAACAAATTGATGTGCATCTCTACTCAAATGTAATAAGCCAACCTGCGCGCTTGCTGGAGCATTTCTTCTTTTCTCAGCTTTAGCATCTTCTGCCTCTCCTCGGCAGACTTGGAGAAGCGACCGCCTCTGGCCTCCATGTTATCCGACTCACTGGGGTTCTGCTCTGCTTCTCCGCTGGGACCTGGCTGCTCATCTTCTGCTTGGCTCCCCTGAAGCGGACCGCGCTCTATGGCCTAACAACGAGAGGAAAATAAGAACAGGAGGAGAATATCTACAAAGCAAACCTGCGTGTTCATATGGAAAACTCAACATGACATATGGCTTCGCTAACCTGCGCAGGGAAAGGCACCTGGATTCGTCCTTCCAAAATGTTGTCTGTGGTGACCTCAACAGAGCGGGTCAGCTGCAGGTCCTGAAGAACAAGGTAGGAGGGCACCTGAGGGAACATCTCCTGAATCTGATGGGCCTTTTGGACCAGAAACACATTATTTTGGTTTTCTGTTGAGCCATTTATTTTATTCAGGTGTGTTAGAATATATTATACATATAAAAATTACACTTTTTCAGAAACAAACATCCAAAGTGTCCAAACAAGTTGTATTGGATACAAAAGTTCACTATTATGCAAACATTTCTACAGTCATCAGGTTTTGTAAATTGAAAAAAAAAAAAAAATGCAGAATGTAAGGAAGAATGGAATGCTAATAATGGATGATTGGAAAGACAGATTAACGGGGAGTGGGGGGGGGACAGCAGGTTCTGGAAAATTTCTCAATTATTTTTCTCTCTTTAGAAGTTTCAGGTGAAGCACAAGAATCAATATGACTACAAAATATTTTTTCCTAAAAAGTTGGAGCTCAGAAGTTTTACACCAGTTGTTTTGTTCAGAAACATCTCACAAATAATTAATACAAAATGCCCTTGTGGTCTCATTGTTTAACATTTGCCATCCAACAGTCAATACATTTGCATCAAGTTAAGAAAATGTTTCAACAAGTGTTGAAAATAGGAAAAAGTGACAATAGACTGACCTCAGAGCAAGTACAAGTGATGATAAATTAGAACTTACCATGGCCATAAGCTGGGAGTTGTTAGCCTGAGCCATGCCCAAGATATTAGTGGTATGCATTACTTCAACAGAAAAACTGGGCAGCCAGCTGGCAATGCGAGACCCTGCAAAAACATGTAGACAGAAAACAACAGCTGAGTCTTGGTTTCCTCCACAACTCAGTGCTGGATCTGTGTCTGGCAGACTTACCATCAAAGTGGAAGAAGTGATTGTGTTGGTTGATGTGTGGCCGAGCTTCTGGAGCAGCACCTACTGGGCCGATGTTGTCTTCCAACCCAGGACCCTGCTGCTGGTTTCCACCCGGAGCTCCGTCCCCGTTAATGTTCAGGGACGTTCGACATGTGGGACATGACGTGTCCTGCTCGAGCCACGAACGCAAGCAAGAGCTGAAAAGCCACCATGGAGACATTATACATTTGCTTATTGCATAAGACCTGTTTTGGCCAGCACATCTTTGTTAAAGACTTCATCCCAAAGGTTTAATCTCCTGGTCCAAAACAGGGTTTAAAAACAAATATAAAAGACAGAAACACTGGCTTGTTTACTTGTGGAAAAGATGGCCACAGGGCAGTTTGCGTGCTGTTAGCATGGTGTCCCAGCAGATGGCACAATCGTCGTCATTTGCAGCCAGTTCCTCTGCAGTAGCAACTGCAAACCTGCACAAAATGCAATTAAATACGCAAATATTAAGTAAGGGCAAGTATTATTGTGAAATACTGTAGATAAAGGATTAACAATGACATGATTACAGTTTTATCACCAAGACTTTTTAAAGTATTACATTTTAGAAAAGGAAAGCACAGTTGAGAGATCTCTTTACAATCCACAAAAAAAATATATATAAATAAAAGTATGAAATGTATTGGCAGAAAAATCAAAAAACACAGCTTTGCCATGCTTTTGCCAACACCTTTTGTTAAATCTTAAGCACATTTGAAATATACAATTTAAATAACGGGATTAATAAAGAGAGCATGGTTTGCTTCAGTACCTGGCCTCCATGTTGTTGATGACTCGAAGGTAGTTCTTGTGTCTGCGAATGCGGCGCTGGACCTCATGGAACAGATATCGCAGCTGCATAAAGATAACCAAGCTCGCCATGGACAGCCAGATGTTACCAAACAGCTGTAACAAGATGAACATTTATATAGGTAAGGTACGAACAGTAGAACAGTGTTTTAAATTACATTTTTGAACTGTATTGGGCACAAAATGTTGAATGTGAAAGCAAAGCGCATAATGAACACTTGTTTTCTGCAGTTTTCCATTTGAACATGTGATCCTGGTCTGCAAAAGCACCTGGAGGGTTGTATGACTAAACATGCAGTGAATGCCTCTATTCATACAGTTGTAAACCCAATCTCTTAGTTTGCTGTCCAAGACACTCATTTCTAGCTCAGAAACTGGTCTGATGTCCTGTCTCACCAACATATGGATGTGA